TATTTAACAAACCCTAAAAATCTAATTTAATTGAAATTAAGAAGATAATAAAAACCCCAAGTCTAATAATTTGTTTATAAAATAATTTGAATGTTACTATTAATTTGGAAAGAAAATGTTTTATGATGTAAAAAAAGTAATAAAACCTAATTTAATTAACAAAAATGAAATAAAGTGTTTAAATTAAAATATTTTTTAATTTAATTAATTAAGAAAATATACTTTTGTACTTTTGGTTAAATAAGTAAGTGAATAAATAAAAATAATAAAAATATAGAGAATATGAAAAAATGTTGGGTCTAGGTGCTAAAAAGAAAAATAGGGGTGAGAAATCATTTTTGTTAAGCCCAAACAGGTTTTTTTTTTGTTGAATAAAAAAATAAAATAAAAGATGGGCCTAAGTATAACAAGTAAAATGGGGGTGTACGAAAGAAATTCAGCCAAGGCCTAGGAACAAAAGTCCAGCGCCTATATGTGATCCAGTGTGGCTAGATTTTGAGAGTACATCATAGGCTTGCAGTCTTGAGTGTTGGATGAGACCTTGTGATGATCATGTGGTGCTGGTCGGAGGCGTAGCATGCATTTCCTGGATTGGCCCACATATGATCTCAAAGAGGCAAATATGTGAAAATTAAAAGGGTATCGCCGGGGCTTGAACCCAGGTCCCTATAGACAAATGCCTTAGCGCGTGCTTCTCTGCCACTGGGGTGGCTGTTTCATCTGGTCATTATACAACTTGCACTAAATTTAAAATAAACTCATTTCTAAATGCTTCTTCATCCCATACCTCGCGCCAGACCAACAACACCATTATTTTTTTGAATTTTCAAACTTGCTCATTTCTCAACCATTTTCAAAAATGTAAACATGAAAGTTGCTTGTTTTTTCACCACGAATTCAACCATGTAAATAACTTAAACTATAAATCAAAGATGAACATGAATTTCAGTTGGTACCAAATTAAGACCTAATTTTTATGAAACTTCAACCTCAAAATTCTCCACGTACGATTAACATAAATGAAAACTAAAGGCACGGTTAGCTTCAGGGCAATGATGTCTACATTTTTTTTATTCAGAGTAACCATTAACGATGCTTGTATAAGAAGTTCAAAGTTGAGAAAACTTACCTCAAAACTGGAAATCGCATTTGGAGTTTGAGCACTCCTGGAGGTGTTGTGATGATCTAGATAGCTTCACTGAACTCCTAGGAAGCTATTGCAATGCTTACTTTGAGCTGAAAGTGTCTGAAACTTTCTGGAGAAGTCAAGTTGCAGGTGGCTGTTTTTGGAAATGAAGGATGGTGCAAATGGTGTTACAGTTGTGTAGAAAGTGTTTGGATAACCTCTATATTAGTTATAGAAACTTTGTGATTGATTAAAAGTTAAAACACGTGAAGGGATTTGGTGTTTGGAGTTTAAGGTCAGAACCGGCAACAATGGAGAATTTGAGTACTAATTCTGATTTCAGGGTGGTTGAGGGGGTTAGAGGGATATTGAAATCGTGCTATGGCTTGCAAAAAACCTCTCTATTTATAGAGAAAGGGTTTGGAAGGCTCAAGTAACCATATTTTAAAGATCACATGTTATAGTTATGTAACTTGGTTTTGAAGCAAACTTGAATCACATTGTTCCAATAGATAGTACAAGGGCTTATCGGGTGGTTAGGAGATGTAGATATGTTGCTTCTGAGCATACATGTTGAGTGTGTGCAGAGGGAGTAAATGAGAGGCTTAAGAAGTTGACATTGTGTTTAAAGCCACTTTACAAGAATGGAAGTGGTGACTTTGTGCCAAAAATGGAATGATCACTTGGACAACGGCTGAAGCACTTGGATCATAGCTAAATCAGTTGTGTAAACATTTAATTATGGAGTGATTTGGAAGTTAGAAGCCTGCAAAGCAAGATTATGCAACATGGATTGAGATTTGATCATGTGTTCTTCATGAAAATTACATATAATTCAAGAATGGATACCCAACTTCTTCTCTTTGATTCTCCTAGATAAAAAATGATCTCTTCAAGTTATTTGACATTTTGGAAAGCTTGAAACATTGTCTACAACCTTCATGTTGACCACTTTGGATAAATCAACTTAGAACTTGGTGAAAAATTGCCAAGAAGTTGGGACAAAAATCTGACCAAACTTGTTGAAAATTTCACTAAGTGTTTTTGATAAAAATGTCATGACTTCATGAGCCTATATCTCAAAATCTAAGCATTTATTGGACATCAACCCTCAAGGACAAATTTGTATAATTCATCATGCTCTACAACTTTCATGTTGAAATTTTCTCTGAATCATCTTGTATCTTGGTGAAAAATGGTCATGAAGTAGTGAAATTATCAAGGTAAAAAACACTTAGAATTTTCTAAGTATTGGAAATCTTGAATTTTGTTGACTTTTCTTGACATTCTTGATTATTTATGATCAATTTTGATGTTTTTGAATGTCTTGATGATTATTTATCTTTGAAATTCAAAGTTAACCAAATAGTCAAAGTTTGACTTTTGTGTGTCAGTTGACTTTTCATCAGTTGAACCAAATTTCAACTATCAATCACTTGATCTTTGAGGATGTTTTGAATCATGAAATTAGGTAAATATATTTTATTTGAGTCCTTAAGATAATGCTTCAAGTCATTAAGCCATGTACTAGGTCAAAAGTCAATGATCAGTCATTCTCAATCAAAACCCTAATTTTGACAATTTTACTCCTTTGATGATTTGAATGCTTTCCTTGAGGAATTATGATCATCCCTTGATCAAATAAGGAATATGACTTCAAAATGTTGATGTTGGCCAAACATCTTGAAGTTTGACGGTATATCGATCAAAGTTAACTTTTTACCCAATACAACTGATTTTCAGTCATCTGAGCAATTGACTGAGCAATTTTGAGATGCAAGACTTGAAACTTGGAATGAGAATTCTTTGAGGTCTATGGTGAACCATGAAATTTATTTGAGGAATTAGAAGTCCAATTTTCATTGTGAAAACTAAAACCCTAATTTGTGGTCTCAGTGCTTAGGAGGTGAGCTTGTCTGATCAACTTTTTGAGAATCCTTGAGCATTTGAGATCTTTTGTGAGAAATGTCTTGGAGAAAAGGGAGGGAAAATTTTGGGGTACAACACATCCCTAAAGGTTTTATACAAGAGCTTGCAATTTAAGTATTTATGTACCCTAATGATGGCTTCTAAGTGTTGATGGAGGCCACATGCTCATATGGATTGTTATGTCCATCGAACTTAGCCAATAATGACGGCTTGGAGTTCTCTAGAACGGGCGCACCCTATATCTCATCTTATAGGTTGGAGATCCAATACTTCCAGTTCATCCACCATACAAGTTTCTTGTTGGTGCTGTTTAGTATGAAGAATGTAATCCTCCAAGTTTGGTTATGGCTACAAAGGTCTTCCATGATAACATGCATCTCACCTAATAAATTTTCCTCGTCGTCAGATTTCTTACTGGCCAGATTTGCTGTCTTTTTGTTCACCATGGTATAAGATGAGCGCAAATATAATACTTTGATTGGATACTCTAATGGTGGCTCTTGTTAGTTTTACCAAGGCGCCACGATGGATGCCAATTGTACCCGCTAAAAATACAAATGCGTATTAATCCCTAGTGGATAAGAGGTATCATAGACTTTCAAGGTTGGTGTGGTATTTAAAGCTTGCTCACATTACTTGAGAAGCTAATGTATTTGGGTATTTCCTTGGTATTTCGGTTCTTTTTGTATCACGATATTTAGGTATTTATAATTCATTAAGCCTATCCCTTATTTTCTAGCAATCTTTTGGTTTCCCTGGATAGCACGGCCCCTTATGCCAAGTTATAAACATGATTGTGTGTTGTGGACAAAGACTCCCAAGTCACATGCAATGTATTTGGGAAAGGGGCGCTTGATCTATAATGGAGTCGTTCGAATCCATAATATAGTGACTTGGGAAGGACGATGGACTATTCGCAAGCCTTCACCTTGCTCCTAAGGTTTCTTATGATTATAATACTATAAGGCACATGATTAATTATGATATATTGGCGGCGTAAAATTTTGTATCAAAATTAATCATATTTTATTTGGGCTTTAATGATTTATTGGTCCCTGTAAGTTAGGGTTTTCTATTTTTAGTCCCTAACCAGTTTTTTCCTTGAAATTAGTCCCTGGATGTTAAATCTTTTTAGTTTTAGTCCTTAAATTCAAAATCCATAGTAAAATCTGCAGGTTTCCTGTAGATTTTCCTACGAATTTTCCCGCGGATTCCAAATCAGTATATTTCCTGCAAATTTTTCTACAGATTTTTCCTGCATATTTTAACTTCAGGGACTAAAACCTGAATGATTTTAACACTCAGGGACTATTTTTAAGAAAAAAACAAATTAGAGACTAAAAGAAAAAATACACTAATTTACAAGGACCAAAAGACCATTTAAGCCTTTTATTTTTCAATAATGATAGGAGGATTCCATTTTTCCCGTCAATTGTGCGACAATAGATTTATTTTATGTGAAAAATGTGATTTATTAAGTTGAATATATTTATAATTAAATTCACATTAAAATTATAATTAATTTATTTAGTTGATTCCGTAATAACTATTAACAGATAATTAAATTAATCATTTATACAACTAAATTGACTACATTATCTCAAAAGATAAACATGATGCCATATCCGTATAAAAAGTTTTTTTTTGACCAAACAAAAAATGGTTGTCTATGAAACATTTTTGAAACAAAAAATACGCTCTTGGCCTCCTATCCCTTGAGCGGTAAACGAAAATAAAAATAATTATTTTCCTTATTTTTATATACGTTTATACTAATAAAAAAATATTATTGCCTTTACCTTTTATATATATTTCAACAAAAAACCCTCCCTCTCTCTTATTACTTACATGGTACTTCACCATTTGTGTCTTTCTCACACTAAAATCCAATTTTCTTCTGCGTCTTCCATTTCTTCGTAATTGTTATCTTTGTGTATCCTTGATCATGGCCTTCTCGATAAGGTATCAATCTATAGTCAATAAATATTTTCATTTCCATATATTTATTATTTATTTTCATTTTCAATTTGTTTTCTTAGTTATGATTGTGAGCGTAACAAACTTTGTATCAATCTGCAATTTTAATTCGTTGTTATAGGGACTACACCAGAAAGATGAGGACCATTAACGCTTTTGAATGCTGGCCCTTTCCGGACAGGGAGGAACTCAATCAACATAAAATCAAGTCCATGCTCCCTCCGATGGCCGTTCCAAAACGGTCAAGAAGTCACCGCCGCCGCCGCAGTAAACACTTAAATTTTTTGGATAAATCAAATATATGTTTCACTGATGTTGGTGGTACATCAGCACCTAGGGAGAATTTATTTATTAGGTCAAATTCGAGGCCCCACAAAATTGAAGAAATTATAGATCAGAAGAAGGGTAAGGAGAAATGTTTTCCAAACCCCACGCCACCTCAATTGGTGGTACCTTTGCCACCCCCACCGCCATCTCCTCCAATTCCAACATATCCTTCCATGCCACCCCCACCACCGCGACCTCCAAAAACCCAATTACTTTCCCCATCACTTTCGCAGGTCGAGAACATGTTAACTGTTTTTGTACTTGATGATGAAGAAGAGGAGGATCCACAGATGGTAAGCGAATTCAGAAAAAGTATGAAGAGATATAATGTTGAGCCTCCAAAATCGAATGAAGGATCCTTGACTTTGGAGGAAGAAAAAGAGGAATTAGAGATTAATAGTCATGTGATGGATGCTGAGACAACAAAAGAGTTGCAACCGAGGTTGCCAATAAAACGATCATTAAACAAAAATCTTATGATGGCGTCAAAGATTAACTTTGCCGTTAACAGGGAGCACGACATAAAAATCAAGATAAAAGAGAAAGATGAAGAGTTAATTGCATCAAAGGTACGCATATTGTTTAATTACTTTTAAATATAGTAGATTGTTATAATGGCATTTTAATTTTTTTTTATAATTTTTTTAAGAACCCTAATGAGTAACCTCACACCGAAATTTTGGACCGGTGTATTCTAAAGAAAACACAATAGGATAGAAAAATGAGTTTAGTCACTCCATTCACATGTTAAATTTTCTATTTTAATGTGGTAAATTGTAGTTTTATTCTTATAATTATAAATTAAGTTCAGAGCCGTCTTATATTTAAAGGTCTTGTATTTGTTAACTATGACTCAACCATGATAAAATAAATAAGAGTCTTACTTAATTATGGTTTAATCATGGAAGATCTATTACAAGACACTTTTCACTCACAATTTTATTTTAAAAATTTAAAGCTCTATATTATAGCCCCATCTTACACACCTTTAAAAACAAGTTTGATTTGATTATATTGTCTTGTTTAACTAGTTAAAACATTGATGTAGACAATTTGACTCATTTGAACTATAACTTTAAGTTCTCTTTCTCACTATTTTTTTACATTACATATAGAGTGAAAATATAAAATCATTGATTTCATCACTTTGGTAAACTTACTATCTTTTTTTATAATTATATTTATTCTAAATTTTGGAATAAAAAATTCTGAATGTGTCAATGAAAATTTATATATTTTGCTAATCTCATTAGTTACATTTTCATTAAAAAAAAATTGTCTTTATTTTTAATTTTACACTATTAGGAGGGGAGTATTCCAAAATCAAAGCATTCATGGTTGATATTTTAAAATGTTAACATATCAAAGTATAATTTTTGAAATTTTTGTATTCTTAATGCTTCTTTCTAAATTTATTTCTCATTAAACATAGTTTATAATAAAAATATCATATGCTTAATTGAGTCGGTTTTCTTTGTATGACACAGCTAGAGCTGCAAAATCCTGGGATCAATGGATCCAAAATGTTGAAAGGTAGAACTCTGAAGCCAAATGCAGACATGATTGGAAAATCACGATTCTTTCCTAAAAAGGATAAAATGGGAGTAAGAAATAACAATATGGAGCTGAATTTCAATGGTATGTCAAACATTAAGATGAACCAGGGTGATAAATCAAGTAAAAGAGGTTCTTGTAATGGTTTACCTGTGAACCAAGAAAATGTTGTCGTCGTGAAACAAGAATTGTTCGATCCAATTGTAAGAGATCCTTTCATTCAGCAGAATAAACAAGACAAGGTTTCTCCTAAGGAAAGTCCTGGTGTTGTTTCTACAGGTTCTAGTCTACCAATAATTAGTGTGAAGGGTAGAGATGTTTCGACTAGTAGAAGCAACAAAGAGAAGGAAAAGCAGCATGTTATGGTAAGAGATTTTCCCGTTCGTGAAGAATCCAAAAGAAGGAATTACAAACTAGAACCATACTCGAGTTCACAGTTGCAAATTTCGTCTGAGAAGGTTTTTCGTCCAAGGAACTTTCCGAGTAATCCAGTGATGAAAAATCCAAACGCGGCATTTCTGCAAAGTCATCGTGTATCTGCAAATCAAAGACTCGGTGACAGCAGAAATGCTGGTTCGAATTTTCCAGAGAAGTTTAGAGCGAGAACTAATCTTGAAGGACTCGTCTTTCAGCCTCCGTTGAGCAACGCTGAAATGAATGATAGAAAAAGAGGATATCATGATGCAAGTTCAACTTTAATGTTACCATTTTCATCACCACCATCAACATGGCTATCATCCTCAACCTCAACCTCAACTCGTGAAAGGCTTTTTAGGCCCACTTCAAGTAACGGTTTTCATCAAAATACATGGAACCTTAATTTCAATGCGTCTTCTTCAATTCATCCAACAAAGGCCATGTATCCACCAAACTTTGTGAAGAATGCCAATGTGTGTCATGTACCAATTGTTCAACCTGCTCCTATTGTGAATCAACCATCTGCCATAAAGAGTAGCCATCACACATTCTCAAAATCTAGGAAAAGGAGAGCTGTTGAAATTATTGATTTCACAAATCCTCATAAGTTGCCAAATATGGGTGCAAGTTCAGAGAGTAACACAGGAGAAGCTGAAACTGATACCTCTGATGTAGCAAGAAGTCATCTAGGGGTTGATCCCAATGTTCAGGTCAGAGCCTTGCCCTAAACATACAAATTTATAAATAAATGTTTATGTTATTAGTAAATAAATAAAAAATGAGTTAAAACATTTTCTTGTCAAAAATGGTGCTTTTATTTTCAATCAATGAATAATTTTGTTCTTTGTACTATTATATCCATTCTATTTTTATAGTAATGATATTCCATTCATATTATTTGATCCTTTATATTGTTAAATTGAGCATGTTTATTCATATTGTGTTAGGTGGAGTGTATGTTGTTCAAATATTTATATGTATTTCTTAAGTTTCTTTTGACAATTACACTAACAAAAATGATTTCACTTTTTGCAGAAATCGGAGAAGGATCATATAAATTAATTTGACTTGATTTTGTTGTCCAAGAACTAATCAAGTAAGTACTTTGTCTATTGTTATATTTTTATTAATGAATATTTAAATTGAGTACCCATTGGTGTTTTCCAAGAACTAATAAAGTAAGAATGCAACTATATAAATATTTTCTAATGCATGTGAGTTTTTGAATAATTATGTTGTTAATATTTAAAGGGAATAAAATTTGGAAGAAGTGGAAATTTATTTTGCAAATTTTATATTTGGCGATTTTTGGAATTAATCTGAAATCACTCTTGTATTTGTTGGAATAATATGACAAATTGAATAAGTGGGGAATAGTTTCACGTTGGATAAGAATGTGGAAACTTAAACATATATAAGTGAGAGAACTCACTCATCTATCACTTTAAGATTTTAGATGAATATGTGATGTGTCTCTCACAAAGATGTCTAATTCTACACTAAGAATCATATCATCTATCTTAATCAACAGCAGATCACGTGTTTTGACTCGATTTTGAGGTTGGTTGTTATTTTGTGGTTTTGATGCTCTCTTAGTGTTTTATAATATATTGATGGTGGTTCTGGTAGTCTCAGCTCTATCCTGATTTCTTTGGAGTTAGATTTATAGTTGCTTCGGCTTTGATCTGTGGAGTTTTTCTGGCCTGCTATGTTGTTTTGTTGTGTGAGTTTTTTCTTCAAATATTGTATTTTATTTTCTATGTTATTTTTTACTTTTCTTTTATCTTTTATAGGGTGATCTTAAGTTTTCGGAGATTTTGTATAGGTTAGTCTCAATTTAATAAATACAATAAACAGAGGCCTTATATAATTATGATTTAAGTTGAAAATATTTTATGAAACTCTATTTAATTATAAATTAACTTTTAAAATTTTGAAGTCCTGTACAGTAGGCTGTCCTGCACGCTCTCAAAGACGGTCTTATTTATACTATTAGTGTATTCACATTTTTATTAATATATTACTCTGTCATTAAAAAAACTAGTTTAATTTTCGAATTTTTATGTTATTGATATGTTATGGAAATAAAAAAAAAATGCTAATTTTTTTCTGATACATTTTATGGTTTCATTCATATTGCTTTGTTGCCTAATTTTGATTTGAAACATAAAAAATGTTATTGACTTGTTTATTTCCAGTTACCCTTTTATGGTGATGCTACTTTTTAAAAATCAATTTGCGATCAGTATAAGTAGGAGGAGAAAAGGTATAATCATTGTTATTATTGGAATACACTTCGAATTTTGGATGACATAATGATTTTATGTAGAAAAGCATTAATGCATAACTTACTAGTATTATTGTTGATTCATTGATTTGACAACTAATGCATAACTTACTAGTATTATTGTTGATTCATTGATTTGACAACTAATCATTTTCTATAACTTGGTATTTTACTAATGATGTTGAAAAAGAATCTCATGATGATATAAATTATTTTTATTTTATTTTAGATTGTGGAGGTAGGAAGTGAAGTTTCATCAGAGTAAAGCACTGGAGTCTTTATAGAGGTAGGAAGTGAAGCTTCATCAGAGTAGATTGCTAGAGTCTTTGCAGAGGTAGAAAGTGAAGCTTTATCAGAGTAGATCTTTGGAGTTCTTTTAGTATCAGAACAATTACTTATGTTATTTTAATATTTTTAAACTTGTTTATTTTGGGGTTCTGAATATAATTTAGTCAAACCTTGAGACTTATTATGTAATTCTAAGACTTATTTTGTGTGTGATGTTACTCTTAATTTACTTTTTAAATTATTGTATTTGTACTTTAAACCTTTTACAAGTATAAAATTTATGAGTTAGATTGAAAAACCAAATTATATGCATGCTCTTTTGTATAACCATTTTACAGGTACAAAGTATCCACGGTTGTTCAGCGATGATTAATATTTGTTAGAAAACTAGTTGGATGGTTTCTTTCTTTCCAACTAGATGTTATCTACAATTAGAGATCAAACTCATGATCAATACAAAAGGTATTCAAATATTTTTAAAGGTTAGTTTTTGAAGATTGTAGATGTTATTAGAAGAAATCTTTTGATTATGGGTATATATATTCTATAATTTTTTGTGCTAATGCTTGACTTATAGGTGAAAGGGAAAGTAGAGGAGTAAGTATAATCAAATTTTGTTGTGTCTTACTATCAATGCAATAACCCATAGATGTTATCAGAAGGATATTATCTTTCAATCAAGTATATTAATCTAAATATAATTAGACAGTTTATGGAGATAAAATATTCAATAATATTAGGTAATTATAATATTTTTTTAAAAGCTAATTATGTTTTATTGGACAATGATATTTGACTAAGTAGTAACATTATTGAGTCCTATGAGATCACACGAATAGTAATATAAAGATTAAATTGGGAGGTTATGGATTAAAAGAGAATTTGGGAGGTTATGAATGAGAAAAGAAATGATCTTAAAAGGGATGATTAAGTCACATAATGTATGACATTATGGACTTAATCAATCCTCCTCTATTTAACCCTATATAAGATAGAGGTTACATAGGGAATATTTACCATTCTATCATCATTATTCCAATAGATAAATTTTAATTTTGAAGAGTGTCTCCTTCTATATTTCTCATATCTTTCAGTTCTTCCTAGCCACAAAAAGTAAAAAGAGATACTTGTTCTCTCCTTTCGTACTAGCTGTCATACTCTAATTTTTACCCCTAAGATCCTACCTATCATATCATTGAATTTCATCAAGATCACAAAATTGATAACCTCCTAACCCTTTGGTATTTGTGTTTGTTGTATGGAAGATCACCAAACACCCTTTGTTTTTCTTTAATCTTTGTGTTTATTTGCTTTTATGCTTTACTAACTCTATTCAAAATATAAAAATATGCCTTGTTTCCTTTTCTTATTTTGAAAGGTATGAATTTTTCATCAAGAGATCAAGTGTGATTCCCAAATTAGGATTTTGGATGCTCAAGGTCATAGTTTGGTCAATCATGGTCCTCCAGAGCTTCTACTTAAAACCATGACCTATAATCTTAAGTCATGTCCACCTCAAGCTTCATTCAACATTAATGGACCAAATGAAGTTCAAGTTTGATGTTTGGTTTATAATTTTACTCAAGATAGGTTCATGTGTTTATTTACATGCCTTCTTCATCATTTTTCTCAAGGTTCCATCAAGATTAATCAAAGGTCTACCAATGATGCTTCATTTGGAGTTCATATGATCAACATTATGCCTTGGAATGCAAGAAAACATCAAGAATGATAAGTTAGAACGTGGTGGTTTGACCTAAAATTCAAGTATGGCATGCATTTGGTCCAAACACCATAACTTCCTCAATTCTCAAAATTTACGGGCGATTCTTTTTGCCAAATGTCAAGAATGATGTCCTCTGCAACTTTGCTTCAGAGGTCAAACATCAATTCAAACTCTAAGTCCATCAAATATTGAAGGCCACTTATGCATAAAACCTAGTTTGTGACATTTTGACCTAATGTCTGGCCTAAATTTTGGGTCACAACCCCAACTTTCTACCCATGCCATTTTCAGCTCAAGCATCCAATTGACCTAGTTCTTTTTGTATTGTGTTCTACTCCGTGAAAGGATCATTTGGCAAAAAGAAAATCAAGAAACACACGAGTAAATTTGATTTGGCCTAAGCATGAACATGGTAACGTAAAATTTGTTTGAACCAAGTGACCTGTAATTAGAAATGACCTAAAAATCAAATGGGACCACTTTGCACATGTGCAAACTTGTTTATCATGGTGAAACACATTTGGTACAACACAAAGTGACTTGAATAGCTCAGCAAATCACACATTTCATGCTTCATTTTACACGGTTTAGATCTAGAATTTTTCAAACTTGGTTCACACGATTGAAGAGCAATTTGGAACGTATGATGAGCTCACTCATTCTTTATAAATAGAGCTCACTTCTACATTGAAAACCAAGCTTTAAAATCTAAAAAAACTCAGCATTTCTCAATCCCAAAACCACATAAAAATCAGAAGTTTGTTTTCTCATTTTCTCTCCATTTCAACTTCAATTCTCCACCCAGAATCCTTCATCGGCAACATTTGAAGATACCGAAAGCCTTACAGAAATTAGCCGTGACCTCTAAGCATCAACTTCATCTCACCATTTTCATACCTTCTGATCTTACTTCGAACAGGTAGATACAAGTTTCTATTTCACTCAAACAAGTTACCACACTATTCGTCTTGTTCTTCTGAGTGAAATCCCTCACATATCTAGAATTTATTATTTTTTGGAATTTAATTTTACTTTGAAGTTCTTAGGGTTTTTGTGTGTTTCAGAAAATTCTCCTTGCTCAAATTAAATAAATTGAACTTGAGCAAGGAGACATGAACGAGGAAGTATGATGAAGCTTACATGATGTGTGTTTAAGCTTAAAATTACAGTTCATGATCTTTCCAAAGCTAGGTTTTAGAGGTTGAAATGATGGTTTTCGCGCGCGTTGGTTGGAAATTCAAATCCTTGAGTCAATCAGATCACACCACCTCTCATAGTCGTTAACATTTTTTATTTCATTTACTTCATAAATTAATTAAAAATAGCTCCTAATAGATTTTTAACTCCATTTTTTCATAATTTTCTAGAAATATTTTCTACCTTGTGTGATTTATTTCATATTTTTAAAATTATTTTTAGCATTTTTTCTATTTTATTTTGTTTTCTTTTTTAATTGATTTTAAACAATTTTTCTCTCATTGATTTTGAAATATTTTGGATTCAAACTTTTGAGGTCTTGGTCCTTGGAGTTTTCTTGATTTTGAATAATTTTCTTGAGCATTTATTTAATGTTTTGATGCTTCATTTGAATTTTCCTTTTATTTTCCATTTAAAACCAGTTTAAAAATCATTTTAGTTCACTTTATTTGTTTATTTTCTTCATTTAATTTTGTGTTTGACTTTTGTTGACTGGGAGCATGACTTATTTGATCAAATGCTTCAACAATATCAATGGACTTTAGATGATAATTTGGATACATG